TGCATTTGTGTGTGTTTTTTGGAAAAAATCTTGTTGTACAATGTTGGGTTACAACAATTCTTCACAACATGACGTGGACGTTTGAGATTAAATGGGCATGGACGGCTGAGATGAAAAGAAGAAAAATGGAAAGAAACCCATTATGTTTGGGCGGCAATTTCCCATTTTCCCTCCCCCAAACCAGTGCACTTCATTTTCCGTCCCCCAAAACAAAAACCACCCTCCACTACCGTAGTTTATCACCGGCAATTAAAATCACAGGTCCATTTTCCCTTCCCCGAAATAAAACCCTGCACTACCGTCGACGTCCACGTTCGGCTTCGGCAATTTGTAAATTCCATTGGAGGCATAATTTCTCGTTATAAGGTATGTTTGCATTTGTTCAATGAAAATACTAAAATTATTTATTAGTTCTTTGTTAAACATAGCTGGAAGACACATATACCTTTCCTGACTGCCATTTTTCATTTTGAAGAGATGTAAATGGCAATAGCTTGGGGTTTTTCTTGTACAATGTGAGTATGAATGGATACAGATTTAGATGGAGTACCAAGAAAAAAATTCAGTATTAGAATCTGGAAAAATTCAGTATTAATTGGAGTGGTTTTTGAATTATGCCAGACTTCAATTTGATTGTGTGAATTTCAATTAAGGGAAAATTGCGGCCGCGGTCAGAACCTTTCATTTTTGACAGGACAGGACAGGACAGGATAGTACTTTTGGATATCTATAATTTGTGTAATGTAAAACGTAATATATTCTCAGCATTGCAGACTTCGGGACAATCAGTTTATGTTAAACATATAAGGGTCAAAATTATTTCAAAATACATTTTTAATGGGCACAGATAGGGGCTTAAAAAGATCAGTGAAAATAGATCAAAGTTTATGGCTTTCCTATGCAATATGCCAACTGTTATAAAGCCAATCAGACCACAATTATATAAGCCGACAAGGTTTCAAACATTTTCAATATCAAGTTAGGGAAAGCCATTGTTTATTTGAGAAGTAAAATTTCGACGAAAATTATGGAATTCCACCTTTGAGAATTCTACCGTCACAACTCACAAGTCTGAAATCAAAATTAAACATGTAGGACTAAAGTCAAATAATCGTTTGACACAGAAGCTTGAAGTCAAACGTATATAAGAACAAGAACATACTCCCATGTGTTTTTTTCCTAAGAAGTTTTTTTACTATCTAACATCCTATGAAGTTTTTTCCTCCAATTATCTTTGTCCTTAAATCATATGATGCATTCTAAGTGTATGAACGATCATCAAGAATGGCTTTTGATTTACTTGGCTTTTGATTTACTTGACGAGACCAATATTATGGTTTCTTTATTTTGTAAAAGTTTAGATGTATGAAATGATAAGCAATTATTTGCAAGAGATCTAAGTACTACTTTCTCTTACTAATTCATCTCAAGCTGTGTTTTAAGGGCGAAGGCACGGGTGAGGCATTTAATTGATAGGGCATATGCTCTACAATCACAAGTTTTTGATTTTGATTATTTTAGCAAATTATAAAATGTATTTTACAGTTAAATAACATACAGAAATTTGCATAAACATGGAGCTGTCAAATGCAATGGAAGGGCCTCTGAAGGATAAATTCCTCTACAATAATACCATCTGATTGAGGTTTTCCATCTTTACCATCTAAGATCGAATTATTATTATTATGTTTTACTATAATATTCGTCTCTCTTCATTTCGCATCCCAGATTCCCAGTTTACCAGTTTAGTAACCCTACAGAGTTACAGTCTTACTCAAACTTCGAATTTGGGAGTATATTTCAGGTTTTCAAAAATTATCTTATCTAATTAAAAGGACTAGAGCTCTGTGATTACAGATAGTTGAATAAATCTTTGATAAATTTCAATTATTTATCTGAGCATTAAACTCTGGTTTGAATGGAGCCTGGAGACAATTCCAATTGGCTATGAAACTGGCTGAAGTACCACTGTACCAGGCTACCAGCAGACGCACACACTGTCGACCAGTCGACGATCGACTTACAGTCGCCGTCCGCACGGTTAGGGTTCTTTTGCAAAATGGACCGCAAGATTTGTGAAAGAGTGATGCCTAAGAAGTAAGAAGGGAGGGAAATGAAGCGAGGGAAAGAGAGGAATGGAGGGAAAGGGAATGGCATCGACGGCATTGCAGCGATTCGCGGTTGGACTTGGAGTTGAAATGAAATGGGAAAATATTCAGTAAATGATTTGTTTACCATTTAATTAAAAAAAAATTAATTGGGCCAAAATTCAGGCCCTACTGTTTTGGGCCAGATCGAAAAAAAAAAAAAAATTGGGCTAACAAAATGAGGCCCCCTCCAGTTTTGGGCCTGAGGCGTGGGCATTGTCAGCCTTGCCTTAGGACCGGGCCTGCCTACATGGTACCCAGACCTGGGCCTACACTCCATGGCAAATTGCCTTTGATGTAATTTGATGTCATTGACAAGAGGCTTCAATTGTGTAGATGACAAATATTCAAAGCTCACACAATGTGTCATTTTTAAAGGTTAATTGGCATAAAACGTTCCTACCTTTGACACATATTGTGAAAATCGTCACTACCTTTCATTTCTTGGCATTATGTTCTTACCTTCAACGTTTCACCTTGTTTTGACGACTTTAGCCTCCTAATCAAATATAACAAAAGCAAAAGAAAAGAAAAATAAAGAACACATTGCAATTATGTGTCCAAACTTATTAAAAGGTGCAAACGAGTCCAAATTTGAAAAAACCATCACCCCTTAAGTCGCCACCTTTGAAGCCAAAAATTCCCAGCTAACTATCATCCAAACCATCGGACCTCTGTACCATCGGAAAGCCCTCACTCCCCTCTACANCATACCCATAAACAAATCAATCAAACAACAAATTATATGGGCAAAACCAGTAGAAATTCTCCTTGATCGAGCGGGAAGTTTTTTAGGTCAAATCCAAAATTGCTTCGTTTGAGTGGTGAATTGCAGCAATTGATTCCCTACCTAGAGTCGTTACACTTTGAATTGTATGTTGGTTGGAGCAATTTGTTGGTTGGAGATGTGGAATAACATCAATTGAAAGGGGGTTGAAACAGTTGGATTGTCTTCTCCGTTTGTGAATGAACTGTCATGTCCAGGCAAAATTGGGGAAGACTCATATGCTTATTGGATGCACCATGAAGAGTCGGAACCTGAGGTGGTGGTCCGCAATCATGGGTTTCACCACCGGTGCCTGAAAAATCTCCTAAAAGCGGCGTAACGGCTGTGTTCGAAGCTGCAACATGTTGGGTATGATTGTGTGCATTAAAGGACGTTTGAGGGCCATGGACAGGGATGTATTGGTGTGTAGAATCGATTGGAATGTTGGGAATGGCTTGGGTATCGCGAAAATAGGTGGTGCCGACAGTTTTTGCATTCGCGAGTAGGATATTTTGGCTTGCAATTTCTACCAAATCTGTTGGCATGAAGGTCGGATGTTGGGTGGTGTGTGTAGAGGGGAGTGAGGGCTTTCCGATGGTATGGAGGTCCAATGGTTTGGGCGGTGGTTGGCTGGGAATTTTTTGCTTCAAAGGTGGCGGCTTAGGGGTGATGGTTTTTTCAAATTTGGACTCGTTTGCACCTTTTAAAAAGTTTGAACACATAATTGCAATGTGTTCTTTATTTTTCTTTATTTTTTGCTTTTGTTAATAAACTAATCCTCCCATTTTACGTCAAACATGGTGAAAGGACCTTCGGTGCACGAAATGTTGAAAGTAAGGGCATAAATGTCAAGAAATGAAAGGTATGGACGTTTTGTGTCAATTACCTTTTTAAAACTCTCAAATTACAATTTTGATATCCCTACTGTTATCACAGTTTTCCTTGAAGCCGACCCTCATTTGATATTGAAGGTTTGCATCTCCCACACCCATATCTATTACTTCAACTAACTTGACCGTTTGGAGTGTCGGCAGCCAACTTCACCATCACCGAAGGAAGTCGCGTGTGGTTAATGATTTGTCCTTGTACGCATGAATTAGACCTACGTAGAAGCAGGAGACCTTGAGATTCGTTGACCAGGTTGGAGATACAAATTCGAGGTCAACACCAACATTGAGTGAAACCAATAAGTTGAACCACATTGTCTTTTGGAAATGAAAAATGTTTTAACTATTTTTTTCTGGTTTTAATTTTGTTGGTACTATTCAAATTTAATTCTTGTTTGTTAATATGCAAGAGTAAATGTCTTCAACTCTTTGTATTGTTCGAAAGAGAAGAAAATGAATAGGGATAGGGATGTAAACGAGTCGAGATTGAGTAAAAATGGTTCGAGTTTCTTTTGGGTCAAGTTGAGCTTTTGCTTGATCAAAATTTAGGCACAACTTAAGTTTTATAAGTTTCGAGTTGGCTCACTATTTTATTTAATTATTTGTACCTATAAGTAGCTAAGTACCTGCCTGTAGGCTTGCCACAAGTTGCCTGCAAAGGCAGTGACTTGCTGCTTGACACAGGACGAGTCGACTCGCTGGCTCGGATTGACACCCCAAAATGGGGCTTGCCCTGAGCCTTGGCATAACCGAGCTGTGAGTTGGGTTGGTTCTGACTTTTTTCGAGCCAAGTCATGGGCCTTCTGGATCGACGAGTCAAATTGTTGCCCCTAAGTAGGGATCTCACATATTATTAATAGTTTCCTGAAAGGAATAAGGGGATTCAAAGTTTTTCAAGATGTACATGTACGTGTGTATGTATTGTAAGAAAGGTACAGTTGCATTGCTCAGCCATTTGTTAACTGTCAATAGGCTTTGCTGTGTCTTTTTCTTTATGCCATTTGCATTTATTCATTTTCTATAGATTTATCATGTTTTCTGGGCAATATTAATCAGATGATGGATAAGTTTTTAAATTTTTTTATTACTAAATACTATGCACTGTTGTTAGTCCAGCTTACCAAACCTTTTATTACAGTGCAAGAATTTTAAGCAGAGATTTCCCAGTAAATATCTCAAATTCCTCATCCTCTTTGCTTTCTAAGATCGAGACATTACGCATAGAGTTCGTGTTTCTTCTTGTCTATTCCTTCCAACTGTTTTTTGAAAGAAAGAAATATCCTTTTCAGCTTCCTCCAAATCTTTCCTAAGATTTTCCTTATTAAAAACAACCAGCTTTTGTTTCTTCTTCAACTCTTGGAGTTCACTGAGTACGAGCTGCAGAAAATTAGGCAGCAGAAAAGAGAAGAATGTTACTTCAATTTACCGAAGTTTAAGAATTCTACAAGGACGATGTTACGCAAATACTTACATTGATTTGAAAGAGTTATTCCCTAAGTACGGGAATAACTCACAGAATTCGTACAGGATGCTCCCTAGCATCCTGTGCATTTGTGTGTATTTTTTGGAAAATCTTGTTGTACAATGTTGGGTTACAACAATTCTTCACAACATGACGTGGACGTTCGAGATTAAATGGGCATGGACGGCTGAGATGAAAAGAAGAAAAATAGAAAAAAAAACCCACTATATTTAGGCTGCAATTTCCCATTTTCCCTCTCCCAAACCAGTGCACTTCATTTTCCCTCCCCCAAAATAAAACCCACCCTCCACTACCGTAGTTTATCACCGGGAATTAAAATCACAGGTCCATTTTCCCTTCCCCGAAATAAAACCCTACACTACCGTCGACGTCCACGTTCGGCTTCGGCAATTTGTAAATTCCATCAGAGGCATAATTTCTCGTTATAAGGTATGTTTGCATTTGTTCAATGAAAATACTAAAATTATTTATGAATTCTTTTTTAAACATAGCTGGAAGATAAATATACCTTTCCTGACTGCGATTCTTCATTTTGAAGAGATGTAAATGGCAATAGCTTGGGTTTTTGTTGTACAATGTGAGTATGAATGGATACAGATTTAGATGGAGTACCAAGAAAAAATTCAGTATTAGAATCTGGAAAAATTCAGTATTAATTGGAGTGGTTTTTGAATTATGCTAGTCTTCAATTTGATTGTGTGAATTTCAATTAATATTGTAATTGTTCAAGTATGTTGAACTCATTATTTTGCATAAATGCCAATTAGAATCTGGAAAAATTCAGTATTAATTGGAGTGGTTTTTGAATTATGTCAGACTTCAATTTGATTGTGTGAATTTCAATTAATATTATAATTGTTCAAGTATGTTGAACTCATTATTTTGCATAAATGCCAAATTATGGATTTTTTTATGCTTTGTTGAAACAGAATTCTAATTTTATCGCAGGAGAATAAATGATGGAAGATATGGAAGATGATTTTTTGGAAGAGCCTGAAAATGTGAATGTGGAATCCGATACGCATATAGTTAAAAATGAAACAGTATTAAGAGATGATATAATTGTGCCAGAGGTAGGAATGTGGTTCAATGATGAAAAAGAGGTGTTCGATTTTTACAAAAGATATGCTTACAAATTAAGTTTTTCGGTGAGGAAAAGGAACTTGAGAAAGGATGATGACGGAGCTTCGGAGGATGAGATGAGAGACTCGAAGGCATCGTAGCTTACAGGATGTCACGCCTTTTCAATTTATGTGAGGACAGGGCCGGAGGAGGTGTCGGTCGGAGGAAAATCGGCAAAAGAGTGAAGGAGAGGAGGCAAAATAGTGAAGGGAGTAGGGTTTCTCGTTGATTTGAGGGAAATGGGGGAGAAGTGAGAGAAAGAGAGAGAGAGAGAGATGTCGTATTTCAGTTTTCAAATTTTTGTTTTATTGTTTTTGTTTTCTTTTTTTCCTTTTAACTATGGCCACGTCAGTTTGTAGTCCAATGTTGTAATGGAGTGTTGTACCCATAGCACTACCCGTTTTTTTTTTTCGACTTTGAATTTGTGTTGTTGATTTCAAATTTTTGTACTAATTCTGTACAAATTTTTTGTACTTGTAGATTGATTCGATTTGAAACATATGAAAGTAAAAATGATAACTGAAAATAACCTCTCACACAAAATTAATAATTATTCCATCTATTTTTATGCCACCAAACACTCAACCTTCCCTCAATCTTGCTCAAAACTCCAAAAAATCACGTATCATGGGCATGCATANAACCTTTTAAAAATATGCACCGATGGTCCAAATGGATGGATTCCATCCAGTTGACCGTTAGTCAACCTGAAAAGTCAAAATTTGCCCAATTTTGACCCAAGTAAAAAGGGTAAAATGGTGACTATACAATTAACACATTAAATAAATAAACAAAAAATTAGAAAAAAACAAAAACCGTCCTCCCTCTCCCTCTCCCTCTCCCCCAGACCCACCCCACCCCTACCCTTCTTCTTCAACCTTCAGCCACAAAAAATCCTTTCTTCTTCAACCTGGAACCCCCAAATCTCACCTCCACAACCGCCGCCTGTAACTCCTCCAAGCCCTTCCGCCACCTCCTCTCTCACACTCTCCAACTGTTCAGATGATGTAGCTTTATCTCTCACTGCCCTCAAATCCCTCTCCACTCTCAACACTCTCGAGTTCAACAACTGCCCCATTTCCCCAATTCATCAACGCAGTAAAGTATGACCAGATGGATAATAATCTTGTTTGGAGCAAACAATTACAGGAAATTTTGCATTAGAGCGCTCAAATTGACGGACCCATTTGGGATTTGAAATCAATTCTGGTGTTTTTTTAAGAAATCAATTTTGGTTTTGTATTATGAATTTGGGGGAAAACATGGATGCGTCAATTTGGCAAAAACCCAGATTCCACTGCAGATTTCAAGCCTGAAATTCAATGTTGGGAACACCGTTTATTTTGTTGGGAAAATTGCAGCAGCGGCCGGCCGGTTGAAGCTGGTGGATTTTTGGATCTGCTGAGTCTTCTGGTTTTGGGGGGGAATTTCAGGTTTGGTTTTAGTACATCCCATTTGAGCTTCCTTTGACGGCCGTCCTCAATTGCAGATGTGGGTGCCGAGGATTTTGGTTTTGATTGGGTGCAGAAGGGTGGCGCCGGCGGTAGTTGAAGATGTGATTTTGGTTTTGATTCGGGTCGGTAGTTGCAGATGAAGTGTCGATGATTTTTTGTTGTTTGTTTTGTATTAAGGTGGTCGAAGGCAGCCGAGGGATGGAGGTTTCACTCTGGCGGCCGGCGACGACGACGGCTTTAGTTGGAGGTGGAGAGAGAGTGTGGTTGGGGAGGAAGAAGGAGGCGTGGGGTGAGGGGGCTGGGTTTATTTATTTTTATTTTTGGGATTTTTAATTTATTTTTTAAACTTATTTAATAGGAGAAAAATACAAACGACCATTTTGCCCTTTCTAATTGGGTCAAAATTGGGCAAATTTTGACTTTTCAAGTTGACTAACGGTCAACTGGATGGAATCCGTCCATTTGGACTTTCGGCGCATATTTTTGAAAGGTTTGGGACCTC